TCTGATTTCTCTTTCAGGAAGTCGTCTTCTGCCCTGTTTCTTCTGTTCCCTAACTGTAGTAGATTAATTTTTAAAGTTTTTTCGTGTGTGATCAATGGTATTTTTAGGCAGGAAGGAGTGTGGGCATGTGCACAGTCTGCCAATTTGATCCCAACTATACCATAAATTATAGCAGTGACTTCGAAATGATTTGTCTATCTACATAATTCCCAGGCCTAATTCTGCCCACCCTGCAGTGGGCAATAATATCTGCTCGATTGTCTCAACTTAAGTTTCAACATCTAATTAGCCCAAAATGGAGAGCAAAACCAATGGCTTTGGCTCCTGTCTGGTGCACTGGGACTGTAAAATGAGTAGACATTCTTGCTGATATTTACTTAAATAGGGCAAACATTTTGGTCACAGTTTTTTCTCTTTCTCTCAACTTGTCTATCATAGGGGACAGTCCCTCCCCCAATGGCACCCTTCGAATTGTGTGCTACCATCCCAAGGGACATCTGGGCACTCTTCCATGGCCTTTTATTTGTAGTAACTTGGTTTATGGTTTTCCACACGTGGGATGGGGATTAAGAGGGAGGCTGGTAGTTTCTGTGTTTAGCCAGACACAGTGACAGAGAAGTTGTACAGGTTGTTCTAAGTCCCCAAAGCCCTATCCTTTGAAATTGCCCAAACTTGGAACAGGGTGGTTCAATATTATAAGTCCTTGTGCCTCCAAAATAGGCCAACCCTATGTTCTCCCAAAACACTCAAAGAACAGCTTATGCTGGTTAGAGAGCAGGAGTAGTGAAAATGGGCCTGTCTTCTATATGGGTCACTGAACATTTTTGGACTCTGTTCAGATGACACTGCCTTTCTCTGCAAACTTTATGGAAGGCATGATTGGATTCACCAGCTACCTCTGTGAAATAGGCATGGTACAGCCGTTAACCACAACACACAGCACGGAAAATGACTCACGAGGGGCTCAGCAAGTGCCAGAGACACTTTCCAGATCTCCATATAATGACATCTAGCATTCAACTGGTAGGCTTGTTATGTAACTCATGTTGCTAATGGGGGAAAAAAAAATCTGGCTTAAACAGTAGAAATAGAGCAATGATTGTAAAAACATGGAATTCCACCTTACACGTTTGTTGTGGTCCTCCTGCCCTGCCTGTTGCCTTGATTTCTGTCCAGTTGCAATCACTACTCAGCAAATTGTGGCAGCATAAGCCACAAACTCTCATTGACTGTAGCTATTCCTTTATTTTATAGTATTGGATGATTGTAATCATCATTGAGCTAGTAATATCTTTCTGAATAACGGAATAACAGAAGACCCAACTTCTTTCATGGGTTATTGGGGTGGGGATGGGGGTCCTTCTGCCTGCCTGAGGAAGTCTAATGGGGGTTGGAGGGCTGGATTATTTTCTTCCTCAGGAGCTGGAAGAGGTTTGTGCTAAAACTGAAATATGATCTGTTCATTATGAAATAGCCAAGACTGGTTCTGCCACAGAAGTTTTATTTTCAAAACTAGTCTATACCCCATGGTAGGGAAAATGAACAAATATTTTACAATTTTAAATACCATTTACAATAATTTAAAATTTAAAATTAAAATGATACAATTTATATATATATAATCTTTAAGATTGCAATACATTGTACCACAAATGACTAAACTAAAAGAAAGTCTCTCTCTTAATCCTTTAAAGAACATTCTGCAAAATGTGGGTCTCACACCTTCAACAGCTGTAGGTTAGGAACCATTGGGACTCTGGTTCTGGACTGACCTCAAATCTTTTTTTTTTTTGGAGGAAGATCAGCCCTGAGCTAACATCCATGCCAATCCTCCTCTTTTTGCTGAGGAAGACTGGCCCTGAGCTAACATCTATTGCCAGTCCTCCTCCTTTTTTCCCCTTTTTTCTCCCCAAAGCCCCCCAGTAGATAGTTGTATGTCGTAGTTGCACATCCTTCTAGTTGCTGTATGTGGGACACGGCCTCAGCATGGCCGGACAAGCGGTGCATCGGTGCACGCCTGGGATCCGAACCTGGGCCGCCAGTAGCGGAGCTCGAGCACTTAACTGCTAAGCCACGGGGCCGGCCCCTGGACTGACCTCAATTCTTGATAAACAATAGGTCTTCACTAATTTGGACTCAGCAGAAGTTCAGCCTAATGAGTGAAAAGCTGAATTATAGATTATTCAAAAACTTAGTCCAAGTGTTTTTATGCATATTAGTAATTTAGGCCACTAATGATACATTTATACTAATTAGAACTATATTTTCACACAATTGCCATGCTTTTATCCTCAGAAAGCTTTATGTAAGTCAAATATAACCTTATAAACTTCTTTGTATTATTGTATTTTGTAAGTTCCATTCATAGTGTATTATTTTCCTAGGGCCACTGTAGCAAACTACGAGCAACTGGGCTGCATAAAAACAGAAATTTATTCTCTCACAGTTTTGGAGGCTACAAGTCTGAAATCAAGATGTCAGCAGGGCCATGCTCCCTCCAGAGGCTCTAAGGAAGAATTCTTCCTTGTCTCTTCTAGCTTCTGGTAGTTTCTAGTTTCTGTTCCTTGGCTTGTTGCAGCATAGCTCCAATCACTGCCAATGTCATCGCATGGTGCTCTCTGTGTCTTCACATTACCTTCCTATAAAGACACCAGACATTGGAATTAAGGCCTATTTTAATCTAGTAGGACCTCATCTAAACTAATTACATTTGCAAAGATCCTATTTACAAATAAGGTCACATTCTGAGGTTCCAGGTGAATGTAAATTCTGGGGGACAGTATTCAACCCAGTACACATAGCTAAATTTTATAGCCCAGCCTAGATCAAAAACTCATGAATTATTATTAAAATGGCTCAATCAAGGTAACTGACAATATCTAGTGCTGGTGTGAGATGAGAATGCAGAGCAGCTGCAACTCTCATACATTGCTGGTGGAAATGGTATTTGTTTTGTTAGTGCCATTGAGTCGATTCTGACTCCTAGTGACCCTGTGTACAGCAGAGCAAAACCCTGCTCCGTCTTTTTGTGCCATCCTCTCACCTTCCAGGGCTGTATCAGACAATGCTCCACTGCTGTTGATATGGTTTTCATGGCCAATTTTTTCAGAAATGGGTGGCCAGATCCTTCTTCCTAGTGAGTCTGAAGCTCCACTGAAACCTCTCTACCACTGGTGACCCTGCTGGTATTTGAAATACCAGTGGCATAGCTTTCAGCATCACAGCAACACAGCAACCACAATATGACAACCAACAGAACACGGGCCATGGCAGTGAAAGCACCAAATCTTAACCACTAGACCACCAGGGCTGATGGGAATGGTATAGCCTCTTTGGAAAATAGTTTGGAAGTTTCTTATAAAGTTAAATATGCTCTTATCAGGTAATACAGGAATCCCACTCCTAGATATTTATCCAAGAGAAGTGAAGCTGTCCACTCAAGAACTTATAAGCAAATTTTTATACCAGCTTGGATTCATAATCATCAAAAGCCAAAAATAACCCAAAAGTCCCTCAATGGTGAATAGATAAACAAATCGTGCTATATCCAAAAATGAAATGCTATTCAGCAATAAGAAGGAATGATGTTCTGATACATGCAACAACATGAATGAGTCTCAAAAGCATTTTGCTCAGTGAAAGAAGCCAGATACAAATGGCTATATACTATATGATTCCATTTATATGACACTCCAGAAAAGGCAAAACGATGGGGACAGAAATCAGATTGGCTGGGGCTGAAGGGAAAGGATTGGCTACAAAGGGGCACAAGGGCGCCTTCTGATGTCAGGGAATTTTGATTGTGATGGTGGTTATATCACCATGACTGTCTAAGTTTGTTAAAATTCAGAAAACTATACACCTGAAAATATTTAATTTTGCTGTGTATAAATTATACCCCCATAAGCAGCAGTGACCAGAAATAAGCCCAACTCTATTCTCATTTCCCTAGAGGTTCACGAACTAGGCTAGTGGTGTTTGACTTTCAATGGTCATTTTCTATGTGTGGCAGAACATATTAATTCAGCCTGCAGGCACAAGAACTTGGAAATGCAGGAACTCCTCGGGGCCCCTGCTCTGCTGGTTTTCATGTTCTTTTATCTCATGAAGTGAAGTCTGGAAACTATGCAGCAGAGAA